GGGGGGGGGAAGAGAGAAGAAGAGAGATCAACAAACTACTTGAAAGGTTAGACCAAAATAAACACGTGAATAAAGAAACTGATTAGGCAGGAAAATGGGAAAAGGAAATCATTCAGCACATTGAGCCTGTTATGCCACTGAATTAGATTGTGGTTGATCTGCACCTCATTTCATTTAGCCCCATTTGTCTCACATTTCTTGACATATCAAAGATCTATCACTCAGTCTTGAACATTTCAATTGACCCAGCATCCATAGTATTTACATGTGCATTGGATAAGCGGGGGGGATTAAAGTATTCCACATTCCTGTTAACTCATGTGAAGACTGCTCCATTCCACTCATAACATTACATCTGAAGTTTCAAGAATGTACATCCCTAATCCAAACTCCTCACCAGGAAAAAATGGCTATGCTGTATCTATCTTATCAAGTCCTTTCAGTATCATAAATATCTGGAATTGATCACATCTTATCTTTAACTGATTTTCTCCTGAACCATTGTCCGAGGCCAAATCATACCATGCACAATTTTGGTGTTGCAGTTTACATCGCTTTAACCTGCTTATATACTGTGCAACACATGGAATAGCTTCCTACCTGCTCACCAAAACTGCCTGTCTCCATCTCAAACACACTTGGCTCAGCCCCAACTTCAGTTTCATCAGAGCTTCACTACCATGAGCCTTTACTATGCTAATGTCCTCCTGGATCAGCTTCCGTCTTCGGTCCTACATACAGTCATCTTCTGCCAATATCCTGTTTTACACCAAGTTCCATTCACATCAACCTTGTACTTGCTGACTAACACTGGGTCCCTATACAATGTCCAGATTTTAAAATTCGAATCTTGGTTTCCAAATTCTTTTAAGGACATGTCTCTCCCTCATCTCTATTGTTCTCCAGCCTTACAGCCCTCAGATCTCTGCACTCATCCGATTCTGATTTTTTGTGTTTCCCCAACTGTAATCACTCCAAGAATCACGGCCATTACTTTAGCTGTGTTGACCATACACTCAAACTCTCAGACTGTACTCTCCACCGCTCTCCTCCTTGTGTGGCTCAGTGTCAGACTTTGTTCGATAAAGCTGCTGTCAAGTACCTTGGGATTACATTGAAGGACCTGTAGAAATCTAAACTGATGTTGTTCTAAACTCCAAGGGAGTACAAGCCAAGTTTATGGAACCTTCTTCACATTAAACTCTTTATCCACTTTGCAGGACTGTATGTGAACATATTATTGCAATGAAAAATGTCAGAAAATAGACTCGATCTCCAATTGAGAGAATCTGCAAATGAAATTGTTAAGCCTGTGGAGGTGATCTTGGGAGATTTGCATTTTCTGATTTTGCTAGAGAAAACAAGTGTAACTACGAGATGAAGGAATTTAATTAATCTAGATCAGTAAATGAACTACTGAATCCTGAAAAACAGCTTCATATTTGAAACACACCAGACACAATGATTTTAATGTCTGGACAACTTTATGGAATACAAAGGTATTTTTCCAGAAAAGTATTGAGACTAGAAAATAAGTTCCAGTTGGCTGCTAAAAGCTACCTTTTCATAAAACACAAATAAACAATTCCACTGACACATTTTGTTAATTAACTTATTACACATCATATCCTAAGCTTAACAGTTAAATGAAACGCTGCCTTTGAAAATGATGGAATAAAATGTACCATATAGATAAATTAGGACAGTTCCAAAACAGGTGAACAATGAGAGGTTGAAATGAACATCAGATCTATTCAAATCAGAGAAGTCACAGATCTGGTCCTTACCGTGCCAAAGAAGCAGATCTCAGTTGATTGGCTTTGGGATGAAGATGTTTCACTTAGTTTGATACCCGTCACTATCGAGCAGCCAAAGCTGGGGTTGATACAATCCATTATAATGCACTGGGGTCAAGTCGCCTAACACAAGGACTATTTAAAATTAAATACTAAATATCAATTAATGGCCAAGGAACTGATCTACACAGGAAAGGTGAGAGGGTGGGGGTTGGCAGTGAGAAAACTGTCAGGGTTAAAAAATATAAATGAATTAATCAGAAGACTAATTTATGGAGAAAAAACATACCTCACTGTGAGGCAAAAATGTGATCTGGATCGAGCCTCCTCCAAGGTCAAGCATGCCTGTTGTGTTATGCTTTTCCCCTTGCAAGCTATCTGAAAAGAATAAGCTACATTGAACATTGAAAATTCATCACGAGGAAAGATATTGAAATAAATTCAAGATTAGGTAAATTGCCTTTCAATAAAAAATGAAACATGAAGCGGAAATTATGTAAAGTATAGTCTTGAGGTCGTTGAGGTTGGTTGGCTCGCCCGCCGAGCTGGTTTCTTGTTTCGCAGACGTTTCGTTACTGTGCTTGGTAACATCCTCAGTGCAGCCTCCGATGAAGCGTCGGTGTGTTTTCCCGCCTGGTTTTTAAACTCTGGCGTCCGTTGAGATGGATTGCCTCACTTTCGTTTTTCCTTCGTAGTGGAATGTATATGGGGTTGAGTTCAACGTGTTTATTAATAGCATGCTTCGTGCTACATTGGACAAACAGGAAGGAAACTAACAACAAGAGTACATGAACACCAACTGGCTACAAAAAGACACGACCAATACTCTCATCTCAATCCACATGGACAAGGAGAACCACGACTGGGACAACACCAAGATCCTGGGACAGGCTAGGCAGAGACAAGCACGAGAATTCCTGGAAGCTGGCACTCCACGACTGCGAAACAAGAAACCAGCTCAGCGAGCCAACCAACCTCAACACCCACAACCTGAGCTACAAATCTACTTAAAGTATAGGCTCCACTCGCATGTATTTCAGGTATTTTTGGCGGCTGAAACAGTCATACGTGCAGCTATTAAACAGACCTGTCCCTTAAATTGTCAGTCACATAGTTCCCTGTCTGGTGTCAGATAAAGATTAATTATAATTCTTGGATATTTCCTGTCAGAAAGTAAAGAGGAGGATCCCTCCTTTCTGTAAACTGAAAATCTATTTAGGCTCTCACGTCGTAACAGAACCCAGAAGATTGCTGACCAGCCACACATTGCAGTTAGTGTAACATTCAGATGAGAATTATTGCTGCAGGAACAGACGTCAGACCAGGTCACTGGCAAGTTGAACTTGGGTTCCTGCTGAGTGAGAAAGGGAGATTTTACAGGAGTGTTGATGTGATCTCGTCTCTAGTTCAGTTGTCTGCGAAAATCAGCAAGCATATCAGAAGACATTGAAGAAGCTGGTGAGGATAGGGGTGGGTAGATGCAGTAGTGATAGTTAGGCAGAAGGGTGGTTGGAGAAGACTATATATAGGTCATGACATACTAGGATGAGATCTGAAGAAATTCAGCAGGGGGAACCTTGAAAAAAAAAAGACGACTAAACTGGGAAATTGAAGGTGAGGGGAAAAGATAACATTCCAGTCACACCTCAGTATGGCATGTCATTTCTAAATGAAGAGTGCATGATGTATAAAATAAGTTTAATATGCTTTGAATACAAATCAAGTAGATAGTAGTAGCTTTGATTTAACAATTAAAGGTAACACTGTACAGGAACTGGAAAGGGGCGAATAATTTGGCTATCTTCTGGCTTGAGGCGCCTTTTGCTACAGAGCAAAAGCAGCTCCTCCTCCACCACAGGTTTAATGGTTTTTGCCAAAACATTCACACCCTGCAACTGTTCAGCTAACTAGTAGTCAATCACATTGTTGTTGGGAGGCAGAAGACCTTTGTTATTGATAACTAGTGAGTAGTCCACAGACCAATCAGCTACTTGTTGGCAGCCAAAGCCCCATTCATACCCCTTGCCTTCAGCTCATCTGTAAACTGCTTGAACAAGCAACTGTGTAAACAGTATTCACAACGAGTGTCGGGTTACTTGCTTTGAAAAAGTGCAGCAATCCTTCAACAATTGTTGGTTTTTTTTAAGCAGTTAATTTTTCCATTTCAGTCCACATTCAAAAATACAGAGAAACAAAAATATAAGCTTTAAACTTACCTACTAAAAAGTTCACAGTAATCCAAGCAGAGATACCTGCAATTACAAGGCAATTGTTAGGAGAAAATAAACATGATCAATGGTATAGTATTTACTGAAATGAAGGCCAATGATGTCTATTTTCACAACGGAGGTTTGTAGGCAAACTACAAAGAGTGGCTAACTTACAATGAGATGCCAAATTAAATCTGCACAGATTTAAGGGTTGGAAACAGAAGTGGTAAGCGGTTTTAAATATCAATGCTGAATTCCACTCAGTGCAGATTCTAAGAATATGACAGGTGGTCACTGAACCCTTGGGTCAGCATCTTGAAAATTATACAATTCCTACTCACACCTCAAAACGCTAGCTAGTTCAATAAAACTGTCTTCTTATAACATCCTTTACTTCTTCCCTGCTCCTTTTTCATCTCCTTCTTGCACATCTGCTATCATTGTAACCTGTGTCCAGACACTTGTCCTTCCTTCCTGATGCAAAACTCTCCTCCTCTACATCTCCTATTGTACCTGTGTCTTTCTCACTTTTCTTTATGAAGCAATGTTTTTCATATTTATTTTAAAAGCCTGCATGGAGTACAGGAGTTGGGAGATCATGTTGTGGTGATACAAGACATTGGTGAGGCCACCTTTAGAATAGCGTGTACAATTCTGGTCACTCTGCTATAGGAAGGATGTTATTAAACTACAAAGGGTACAGAAAGAAATTACAAAAGATGTTGCTGAGACTGGAGGATTTGAGTTATAACGAAAGGCTGGGACTATTTTCCCTGGAGTGGAGGCTGAGGGGTTGACCTTAGACAGGCTCAAATCATGAGGGGCGTAAATCGGGTGAATAGCCAAGGTCTTTTTCCACAGGTAAGGGAATTCAAAACTACAGGACATAGATTTAAGGTGAGAGGCTAACAATTTAAAAGGGTCCTGAAGGTGGTGCATCTAAGGAATGAGCTGCTGGAGGAAGTGGTACAGGTGGATACATTTACAACCTTTAAAAGACATTTGGGCAGGTACCTGAATGGGAAAGGTTGAGAGGGATATGGGCTAAACGCAGAGAAATGGGACTAGTTCAGTTCAGGATACATGGTCTGCATGGAAAAATTGGACCAAAGGCTCTGTTTCCAGGTTGTACGAGTCTGTGACAATACATGTGAGATGGATATGAGGAACCACAGAGAGCTGATCAGTGGTGTGCAGACAAACAGGAAAATGCCGGCAAGTTGCTGCAACATTAAATGACAAATTGGAGTCAAGGAATTAAGGTGACATTGAGCATTACAGAGGAGATATGAATTAGTAGGAAAAATTGGGGAAACTTGTGTTTTTCAAACTTGAAGGGGCATAGCAGTAATTTTTGAGTTTGCAAACGAGACATTCAAGAAGATGACAGCAAATTCAGGATTTATGTTTTCTTCCATAAAGTCTGATCAATTTGAGGAATTGCTTTAGACACCCAAAAATCCTGTTATCAATTAAGAGTCAGACAGCAATAGAAGGATGTTTGAACCAAGATCATTTGACTGGCCTCTTTCATTTATAATTATCTTGTGATTGTGGCATTCAGCAGTAGAAAGACCTTCTACCAAGGGGTATGAAGTGGTTATTTCTTTTCCACAACATGGATTGCTGGATTAGAACTGCCAGCAGAAACCTTCAAAGATGTGCAAGGTCTCAGTTTCAATCTAGCAGGACAACATAGGAATGCAGAAGCTTTGTGTTTATGCTAGATGTCAATCAGTGCATTTCACGAGTGGTATAATGAGATGCATATTTTGGGAAGAATGGAGGGGAAGCAGGGTGGAGAAAATACCTTATAAAGCAACATTTGATGTTGAGAATATTTAAACACAGACATGATTTGTCTCTAGGTTCAAACGCAAGTTATAATCTAAGAGCCAGTGCCCTACCTTCATCAGTCCCATCCATGATACTAACACAATCATTTGTTACTAGGAAAGGGCTCAGTTGAAATACTTCCTTTACCTACAAAAAAGGATTCAGTAAATACAAAGTATTTAATTAAATCATCTTTTCCATTAACTTGTGTTTTTTTGGCAAATCACTAACACAATAAATCCAGTATTGTGCAAACCAAGTCAATTCAAAGTCATTCTTCAAGCCAAAAAGCTACAGATAACTGACCCCATGACATTTATTCTATTATATATATGGATTTAGACAGTAGCATGCTTTGAGAGGCTAATGCTAGAAGTCAAATCTATCTATACCTACCCTGTGATATGAAGTGCTCTAATGCTTTAAGGATTCACATACCTTGTATTTTAAGCAAGATACAGAAGGATTTTCACATTGTATCATAGTTTCACACTTTAACAACAGTGGGACCTTTAGATACGTAGATCAATAAACATCAAAAAATTGAATATATTGAGAGTTAATTGCCCCAAGGCACGTCCATGCATGTGCAAATGTGGTTAGATATCACAGCACATCACCCAATTTCAAAATCCAAAAACAGATACAGAGTGGTACCTAGGAAACAGAAAATAATTTAGAAAGAATTCTATTCTGCGCAGCATGAATGCTGGCACAGTTAACATCTTGAGGTTTTGAAGGTGACAATTGGTGTATATCACGTTTTATAACATTATGCAACAACCTTGAAAAGAAGGCAGTTGTTAATTAAATCCTATTTAAAAATACTAGACCTCCCAGCTCAGCCTAACAAGGGGTCAGCATGCCACTGTCAGCAGTACATCTGCTCCTAAAGTTGAGGCAATAGATGACAGCAAAGAGGAGTTCGACATCAACTTTAAGCACCATCTGGTCCAAAGCCCAGACAAAAATACTAATCTACCTTGGAAATTACAAAGCCAGAGTCAGAAAGGATGCAAATCTCTGGAAGGGTATGACAAGCAAGGAAGGAGAAAGCAAACTCCACCAAAATCCTCCTTCTGACAAAATGTCTAGAACATGAGCTGGTGGTAACAACAGCATATTTTATCTGCAAGACAAGACCACCTCATGGCAACATTCATTGTCCAAACACTGGCACTGTATAGAGATGTTCACAGCATCTGGCCATGACAGGTACTGATTACTACTGAACCAGTAAGTGCCGTATCTGATCTTTCATCTCCATTAGCCTGACACCTAATTAATGACTCCTCCTCCAAATTATATGAAAAATGCATCTTTCATTTAACATCCAGAAAATTAAGTCTTCTTCTAACCAGCTCCCACAGAAAAACACCTTCTCTTGTCAATTAAGTACCCCAATGAGGTCCTGGAAAATGTGGACCATTTTTCATGTTTTACAAGCATTCTCTTGATGTAGGTAGACATGAAGGATAAAATTCATTAACAGCTTCAATGTACCAATTGAGTTTTTGGCCAACTGATGAAAAGAGTATTGGCACACCATGATCTCAAACCGGAGACTAAATTTACAATAACTCATCCACACTTCAGAGACTTGGATGATTTACTGCAGGCATCTCAAACCACAGAAGATGTACCATCAATGGTGTCTTCACAAGATCCTTCAAACCTAGCAGGAAAAAGTGCAGTCCAACAGCAGAGTCCTCTCTCAAGCCAACTTGCCAAGCAAAGAGGAAATAATCACTCAAAACCAGTTCAACTCAACAGCATATTTCATTCACATACCTGATAGCAGATTCCTGAAGTATTCTGAACTTGTCATAGTAGGAAATTCACAGGAACACAGCAGAAATACTTTTGGGATGTCCTCAAAACTTAATGATTGAAGAGGTCAAGCATACTCATCAACTTGTGGGACAGCCTGGCCTCTGACCAAAACAAAGGCAGCTCATTTGATAAGGCACCTAATGCATTAAGGGACTTCATAAGAGATGTGCAGAGGCAACGGTGAGGTGTGAGAGGAGTGTACAAACTTACAAACAACTTATCCATCCAACACTACTCACCCTGCACGTGGCAGTTTTTAGATCATGCATTGGATTATTCAGCCTGATCTAGAATGCACTGACTCATGGAGAAAGCATACTCAGTATTAGCTTTCAAAAGAAAATTGGCTATATACTTCAAAAGAAAAATCTGTAGTGACAGCAAGGACACTGGAACTAATGGAAAAGCTCCTTCAAAAGGAAGACAGAGGAATGATGAAATAGATGTCCTCCTCTGCAATGCAAGAATCTGAAGAAAGCAAGCTGGTATCTTTCACAAACATACTTTGATTAGGTTTGCGATGGGTGGTCTCATGAAATTTTATCTATACCAAATATACTTACCCCATCTGAACTGTTAGATAGGATACTAAGTGCAGATACAGGCCATTTGGCCCAACCAAGCCAAATTTAAACACCTGCTCAAGCCTCCTGCCATCTTTTCTCATCCAAATTGATCTTTGTGAAACATCTTTTCCCTGCTCCCTCATATGCTCATCTCACTTCCTCAAATGCATCTACATAGTTGACTTCAATCACCAAAGTATTGAGGTCCACATTCCCATCACTCTTTGGGTAAAAATGTTTCTTTTGAATCTCCTATTGGATTTCTTGATGACTATATTTTTATTGATATCTCTAGTCATGCTGTTCCCCACATTCTCCCTGTATCCACTTCTAAAACCCTTCATAATTTTATTTTAATTACTTTTATTAGGTCACCCATTTTTCTTTTTAGAAAAGAGGTCCATCGTGTCGATTCTTTCCTAATATGTATAGCCATTCCTGACATCATCCTTGTAAATCTTCTCTGTATCCTCTCCAGTGCTTTTATGTCCTTTTCATAAAATGTTAAAGCATAACATCATGCAATGCACTGGTTCTGGTCTAACAAAGGCTCACCAGAGGTTTAGAATAACTTCTCTACTTTTCAATTCTATCCCTCTAGAAACAAAACAAAACAATTTTGTTTGCATTTTTGGGTATTGCTAACTTGTAATTCAGCTTTAAGTGACTAGTGTATTTGTATTGCAATATCCCATTGTTCTTCTATTCTACTTAGATTTGCACTTCCACATAATCAATGATGCTTCTACTCCTACTAAAAGTAGTCTCGTACATTTGTATTTGAACTTCATTTGTCAATTATTTGTCAATTCCACAAGTTTATTAATCTCCTTTGTAAATTGGTTGCAGTCTTGTTCAGTATTGACTATCCCTGAAACCTACCGTCTGCCCTCAAAACCTGGTGCCATCCATGAATTTAGAAATCATTAATGTAAATTGTGAACAGTGGTCCCAGCACTCTCCATTGTGGAAACCACTTTCTAGCATTGAATAATTATCCTTCACTCCCACTCTGCTTTATATGTCACTTTCTCCATCTATGCATTCTAATTGTTTTTTAAACTGTCTCTAAACCAACTGTATAACTGTCCCACAATTTTCGCATTGTCTATTTCATTCTGTCAGATTTCCACCTTAGCTAACTTAAGACCATCTAACCTATTTGCCGAGTACATTTTCGCATTAAGAAGCTTTGAAACTAACTAGCAATCCATTTGTTTTTTGTCCTGTTTCTACATTCTCGGACTTAAGAATTCAGATAAATTACATCTACTGCTTTACTACTGTGCGCTTTATTACCTCCACAAATTCAATAAGGTTGGTCAAGCAAAAACTTCCCTTTTGAAATTCTTGCTGACTATTCATTATATTTCTAATTTCTAGATGTTCTCCTATTCTCTCTCTTTATAAGGATTTGGATTTTTATCCTGATGACATTAAGTTGACATCTCTAATTCACTGCTGTTCCCAGACCTCACCTAACTCAAGGTCCCAGTTCATGATCACACTGGGCTCCCAGACCTCAGCTCTCTCATACCCAATGCTCTGATTACTCGTAGTACAATCACACAGACATGCTGCCTGGTATGGCCTTTTCCTAACTCAAGACATCTAACCAAATCCATCAATCCCATATCTATCATTGCTGTTACAGTATCTTTTCAAGAAATTCAAGCAGCAGAGCATTTTAACCTCTCAGCTTTCTGAATACCCTAAACCTTTAAAAAAACTGTACTAGAGAATGCATCAGTAAAAGGCACACAGGTGAGAGAGTTTCACAGAGACAGAAGGGAGACAGTGAGAAAAGAAAACATTAAGGATAAGAAAGAAGCAATAACTTCATACAAACGTGACTAAAATGCTTCTTAATACAAAAACATTCAGCTAATAGGTCAGCTGGCCTTAAGTTAGCTAAGGTGGGAATTGGATAAATGAATTGGACAATGCAAAATTATGGGGCAGTCATACGGTTGGTTGAGAGACAGTTAAAAAATAGAATATCAAGATAGAGAAAGTGACACAAAAGAAAGCACAGAAAAAAATAACTAAGAACAGTCCTTCACTATGACTAATGGTATCATTCACATAATGCAACTTTCTTGCATCATTTGACTCATCGTGAACAATGCCACAAATACACGAAGTGGCAACAAAACAATTCAGTATAATGCAGGAATACAGCTTCACAGTTAAACAATGTTCCCCCATGTAACCCCCCGCCACTAGTTTTGCCCAAACCTCAGGAATCCAGAGCACAAATACCTCATTTGTTTTGGGACAGATGAACAAGCTGGTGAAGCACAGACCAGTTCTCCTACACATTCCACAGCCAGCTTTTTTCATCATTTACTTCTTCACAACAAGCTATGAAAATGTATTATGTAAATTCTCCAAATTACTAAAGTTTTCTTCAATGTTAATAAAAAAAAAGTTACTTCAGTGGAGTTACCTTATCCAACAAGTGCTGAGCTTTTACTCCTGGCAACAGACGTAAACCAGCAGTAGCTTTTAGTACTAAAGGTGTGCTTGCCCAAACGTTCCTAGGAATTGACTTTTTGGCAATGTCCAATAGGTCCTGGATGCCTTTTGTGGCCTGTAATACATATCCAATGTTAAAAAAAACAAGTCTCAGTTAAAAAGAATTTAATTCTGAAAGAATAAGTTTCAATAGCAATTCAAATCTATAAACAGTAATGTGTTGCCTGGACAGCATACATGCACTATTTCTGCCTATCAAATTCAGTATTAACTTTTAAAGTCTTAATTCAAGGCAGTCACAGTAAGTACTTGCAGATTTCCACCTATTGGTACCCTTTCAGTTTCTTAAATAGCATATATTTCATTTGTGTTTAGAGTCATGGTTCAATACTGACTTTTCAACACCAGTATTGTGGTTCTCACTAACAGTCCGTTATCATTTTGCAGTCTTTACATTTTAAGATAGTGGTTTAGTATTACAGGCAGTCCCTAGGTTGCAAACGGTTTCCACTCTGAAAACCATTCACAAGTCAAATTGTACGCAAGTCGGAACACACTGCAGGACAATGGAAAGCAGCTGTACGTAAGGATAGAAAACGTTCATGTCAGGTCTTTAAAATTATAACCACATAGAGGATTGCAATCATAAGTATAAGTATTTCTAAATTGGATGTTTGTAAATTGGGAACCCCTGTACAGATGATTTTAGGACATTTGTTTCTATAATGTGAGTATTTGTCCTTCAAAAGTGGTGGTGGGTCTTGTTGGATTCTTGTAATCCATGTGATGAAGGTGCGCCCACAGTGCTTGTAAGTTGGAGAGTTCTGGGTTTTGATTTAGTAGCAACACAAAAATGGTGATACATGACTAAGTTAAGAAAGTGTACAATTCAGGTGTGAACATCAAGGTGATTATGAGGCTTGCAACAGTTTCTTCAAAGTAGATAGAGCTTGAAATAAAACATTTTCAGTATTTGCATACCTGTGAATTCAGATTTTGAAACTGAAAAAATAATCTGAGGAAGGGTCACTGGACCAAAACATTAACTCTGATTTCTTTCCACAGATGCTGCCAGACCGGCTGAGCTTTTCCAGCAATTTCTGTTTTTATTTGATTTTCAGCATCTGCAGTTCTTTCCATTTTTATTACATATTAGCATTCAGGAAACAGTAGATATTATAATTGGTGTGCTGCAGGTATCAGTGCTGGGCCTCAACATTTTATAATTTATGTAAATAACTTGGATGAATGGAGCCATGGCATGGTTGCTAAATTTATTGATGATACAAAGTAAGTTTTGTTTAGGATATAAGGAAGCTGCAAAGGGATACAGAAATGTTAAGGGAACAGATGAAGCTTCAACAAATGGAGCACAATATAGGAGTATGTGATATTGTTCATTCTGGCAGTAAGAATAATAAAGAAGCATATTATCTAGATGAGGAGACATTGCAGAGCTCTGACCTGCAGAGGTATCCGCGTTTTCTAGCACATGAAAGCTAACAAAACGTGATACTCTATTAAGGAGAATTGAATGCAAAAGTAGGGAGATTATACACAGCACTAGGGAGATCATAGTTGGGGCATACAGCTTCAGTCTCTTTATTTAAGGATATAACTGCATCAAAACCAGTTCAGAGAAGGTTTATTAGACTATACTTCAAAGGGTGGAGTGTCTTACAAGGAAACAAGGATAGGCTTGTATCAGAGATAGTAGATAGTAGATAGACTTGTATCAGAGATTTCTGAAGAAGGGTCTAGGCCCGAAACGTCAGTCTTCCTGCTCCTATGATGCTGCTTGGCCTGCTGTGTTCATCCAGCTCTACACCGTGTTATCTAAGGATAGGTTTGTATCTGCTGGAGTTTAGAAGAGAAAGGGCAATTTAATTGAAACATAAGATCCTGAGGTGTCTTGCCACGGTGAATGTGAATGTGGAGTAGATATTTCCTCCTGAAAGAGAATCTGGAAGTAAAGGTCACCCATTTATGACACAGATGAGGAGAAATTTTTCTCAGAGGGTTCAATGCCTTTGGAACTTCCTTCATCAAAAGACACTGGAAGCAGAGTCTTTGAATATTTTTAAAGCTGAGGTAGCTAGCTCTTGATAAGCAAGGGGTGAAAGGCCATCAGGGTTGGTAGAAATATAGTCAGATCAGCCACGATCCTATTAGGGCGCAGAAGGCTTGAGGGGCAAGTCACCTACTCCTTACTCCTAATGTATGTGTTCACAATGTTGTCTATCACACACATACCAGTATCAATTTATCACTCAATAACACTCCACAAATAATCCAAAGTTAATCTATTGTCCTTAGTGACTGATGTGCCAGAACATAGAATATAGAACTGTACAGGACAGTACAGGCCCTTCGGCCCACGATGTTGTACCGAACTTTTATCCTAAACCCAAAGTCTATCTAACCTCCACCCCTACCTTATACTATCATCCATATGCCTATTAATAGCCGCTTAAATGGCTCTAATGAGTCCGACTCCACTACCCTCTCTGTCAATGCATTCCACACCCCTACCACTCTGAGTGAAGAGAGTTGGATCACTCTACCTCCTTGAAATTATCATCAAAAATCCAAAAGTCAATGCATCATTGTTAATCTGTACTAGCTGGGCAGGAACAGTTCTGTGCTTGTAATCTCAAAAAGATTAGTTTTTGAGGACCACAAAGACTGTTGTAATTAGATTCAGCATTTGTAGATAACTTTTCATCATGATCAAAAACCTCCATGTTAATGTAGTTTATGGCAATAAACCCAGCCCCTCAATAAGGGGCTCTGAAGTTATTTCACATAATAATACGTATATTTTCAGGACATGGGCTGAGGCAGTTTCTAATCCCATCCTCAGAGGTGTTTCAGCTGTTTTACCCAGACTATCACCAAAGAAGCAGAGTCCAAAAAGTGTCAGATTATCACTTGTCAGGGAAAATTTTGTGCCACTTTTTTCAACAACTCTAGTTTTTTTTTGCTGGGGCACTTTTATCCAAGGAACATACTAAACTACAAGACTGATGGCTCTCTCAATTTTAAAGATCAGACAGGGTGGCTTACATGTTATTCTGTGCTGGCTAGTGTGAATAGATTCTCGATACCAAGTTGAAATTTGCAGATCTTTCAACAAAAGCAAAATAATGGAGTTTCTGATTATCCAAAGTTAATCAACTGCTAGAAATACTAGAAAGATCTGGTACCATCTGTGAAGAGAGAAAGAGAGTTTCAGGTCGATGACTTTTGTCAAAACATTTTCATCTGAAATATTAGTTCTTGTTCTCTCTGCACATGCTGCCTACCTGGTGAGTATTTCCTGTTTATTTTTATTATTGCAGATCCTCAGTGCTGACTAGCCTGACTGTGTTATTGTAGTTACTATTGTTGAGCCCAGTGCTGAAAAACATTGCACATTTACCTAATTGCTATACCCAATAGCTATATTTTTCATGTTTCTGTCCCTGTTGATTTTGTTTGGTATTCTTGGAAAGGCACTGGAGCTTGTCTTTATGCGTGTGCTAAGTGATCGGACTGAAAGTCCCGGTACCAAATATTCATGATGTCTCTTTATGCAATGACATACCATATTATTTGATGACCTTAATAGCAAGTCAAAAGGTCACAAAAACACTACTTGGTTATTTCCAAAAACTGCAGCCCTCGATAGATGTTGTGTATGCTGACTCAACTCAACAAAGCACCTAGTTTTAGTCTGATACAGACAATATCCCAGTGTCAAAGTGTGCACTATGCTTCTGCACTGCAATACACTCAAAGATTCAGTGGCTATGTCTCTAATCTGCCATTTAGCTTTGACTGTGTCACACTTGTCATAAACTAGTTTATCAGCTTCAGTCTGGTTCCTAAGGGAGGAGGAACCAGAGGGTGGGGCGAATAGGAAGTCTTGCATAAGGTACAGGAGGCCAACCAGCTTCATTGCAGAGAAAACAGACTTCAGTTGAGTGTTTGGAGAAATAAAGATTATTCTCATTGGGCAACAAACATTAAAGGAAGATCTCACAAAAGATATTGAAATTTGAGGGGTCTTTGTTAGAGTAAGGAAGCAACTATGTCCTGAAACGACTAGATTTAAAATTGAAAATAATTGGCAAAAGAACTAGATGGCAAGTTAGGAGGTTGTTTTCACAGAGGGCTTTTAAGATCTCGAATGCACTCCCTGAAAGAGCTGTGGAAACAGATTCCACAGGATTAAAGATTTGCAGGGTTATGGGGAGCAAGTTGGACCCTGGGACTAAGTTGGACAGCTGTTTCAAAGGCTCAGTCCATACATGACAAGTCAAGTCAAGTCAAACAATTTCACTTTTCCTGTAAGATTCTAGGACTCTAACCCGGTCAACTCCACATTCCTCCATCTCTGGTCTCTTGTGTATCTCCTGTTACCCTTCACCCCAATGGCAAAGGATCAAGTTTTAACTCTGGAATTTTACTCAACATCTATCGCATCCTTTATAATGGTCATTTAAAACTTACCTCTTCAGTCAATCATTCAGCCAACCCTCTTCATCTTGTTGACTGTCATTTTTGTCTTGCACTTTTGTGAAACACTTTAGGACATTTTAGTACACTAAAAGATGCCATTACAAATGCAGACTGATCACTATTCATCTGTCCTCCAACATCTCTAGGTTAAATCAAAATGCATCCATATCAAATTTACACTGCCTTAGTAATTTATCTCTAAAACCACAAATCTTCACCTCTCTCTCCCCTACATTCTGTATTCTTCAGGCTCATAGTGTCTTCACTGAAAATAAATTTTACAATCTAAAAATTACTTTGTATTTTTCCACTACTTATCACTTAGCTGAAGACCACCTTCAGTTTGTAAGCATGACCCGACCTTCAAGTCATTGGTCAATTATCCAACACATCTCAGTCTGATTGGACAGTCCTTGGCCTCCTACACTGTTTCATTCAAGCTCAATATAAATTCAAGAACAGCACTTCACCCTTCGGTTTGGCAGTTTACAGCCTTAGTAGTGAGGAAACAACTTGTAATAAAGGATATTACAGTAGATTCTCTGGTATGACAGTTGTAAGCTCGTGCTCAGAGTTGGGCGCTCAATACACTTGGGATGCTTGATTTTCTTCGGCAATAGTCATGGAGTAGAGAAACTTTCATTTTGCCAAATATTTCATTTTATAAACCCCAATTCCCACTATTCTGCTGCAACTATTTAATCTTTTGACAAACAAAAGTTCCAAGTTGTCCCCTGCCATCTCTGCATCCATGTGCAATAGGACCTTCATGCTGCAAAAGTGCCAGACAATATCCATTGTTATATTTTCTTGTTGGCAATCTCTCTTTGACATTCAAGGAAATGTCATATCTGAATCACCAACTATGAAGATCTTGCAGTTTACCATGGACCAGAATCTGAACTGGACCACGCATATACATACTCCAACTACAAGGACAGGACTGGTGTTTCTGCAGTGAGTAACTGACTGGCATCCCATCTAACAACTTAGACATGCACCCCCACATTTAATGGCATCAGTGCATACCATAAATGAAGTACATTGCAGCAAGGCTGCTTTGATAGCAACTTCCAAACCTCTGAGCTCTCCTACTTAGAAAGACAAGAATAGCAGATACATGGGATCCCAACCACCTGCAAGTTCCCTTCTAAGCCACACCATCCTGACAACTATAATCGCTGTTCTTTTGATGTCACTGGATTAAAATTTGCAAACTCACTCTTTACAGCATTGTGGGTGTGCCTAATCCACATAGACAGTGGTTCAAGAAAGCAGCTTACCAGTACCGTCTTGAGGGCAATTATAGAATGGCAACAAATGCTGACCTTGTCAGTAACCCACATCCTATCAAAGAACAATTTTTAACACAGTCTTTCAAAAAGTTGATCATCTCTAATATCCTCCATTTCAGGTCATTGACCAAAACATTAATTTTGTTTCTCTTTCTGTAGATGCAGGCTGGCTTGTTTATTGTTTATAGCCTTTCCTATGGACAATGTCACAAAGCATCGCTGGTAACATTTTGTTAACTGATAAGAAGCACAAACTAAGAGAAAGTAATACCAAATGGGGCTCATCAGAATATGCCGACAATCCTGGCTTCAAAGCTTTGAATGTTTCATCTGCAAGTTTAGGAGATTCTGTTGAAAGGAATCGCAAAATTAGAAATTTGGATGATTAGATTTCTCAACTGTACAATTCATTTCAATGAGAGCGTGCAGCAATATTAACTAGGTCAGTATTTCCGCAACCATGATTTTAAACCATTAAGCTTTATTGGAAAACTTCCTGCAGAGTTAATGAAAGTTTGCTTATATTGTGGGATTTTGGAACAGGAGGAAGAAATAACCATTGAAAGACCGAAGCCCGAGTTACAAATGCAGGCAATAAATAATGAAATGCTTAACAGCCTACACATTGAAAGTCATACCATTGCAGTGTAGGACAAATACTTTAAAAAACATTCTGATTTAAACGTTTGTGCTGAAAATTAAGCCAACAAATGGTCGTAAAAACAGGGTTCAGCATTAAAAAGACAGTAGAGAGAGCACAGCTTTTCTTTGAAGTAGCGCCCTGAAGTGTCTTACATCCAGTCAAGAGGGCAGACGACCCTCAATATAATGCTCATAGACAGCTCCGCTGACTATGCGTGGAGATCAAAGGTTACATTTCTAGGCTAGCAATCTACAGGACTGGACTAATGATTTGGAGCTGTGTGTTCAAATCATTGGGTATTTAAATCCTTATATAAATCTGCAATAAGCAGCTAGCAACAGTTTAGTGACTATAAAATTAGTGAAGTCAAAAATTACATCTGGTTCACTGTCCTTAAAGTAAGGAAATCCATCAACCTTATGCAGTCTGCCCTCTTTCACCTGTAGTGAAGAGGTTCACTCGTAATTGTATCAAATCTCAATTAAAAGTCAAACATGACCGCAACCAAATGAATTAGCCAGCATCATTCTAGGTAGGATAAAGGCAAAAGTAATCCAGTTGATTCTATAAAGTGACCCCCATTAACGTCTGGGAACTTGCACCAAAATTAGGAAAGCAAAATTAGTCACACAGACAACAAGTTACAGTTGTACACCGTATTCATACCTTTCATACAACTTCCCAGACATCCCTATCCCTAGCAACATCTTGTCAAACTGGCAGGATAGAGGATAGATCTATCAGAGGTAGTATCACAGTCATTATGCAAGAGAGTGGGAAGTACTGGGAGTCCTCAACATTGACTCTGGATCTCATGAAGTCTCATGAAGCTTAAATCAGGAAACATCCTGATTACACCTACCACCCTCCCTCAGCTAATACTCCACCAAGTTGACCACCCATTTGGAAGCAGCAAGTATCCTGGGTAGCCATGACATATATAGTCCATATACTATCAAGGACATAAAATTCCACCCCTACACTGAGGCCACCCTTTAATGTGATCCTATTAGCACGCTAATTGGATTAATTCAGAACTGATCTATTAGCTCAACATTGGAAAATGAGGAGTGCAGTGGGCCATTTGCCATTTAACTATATTCAAGCACAATCCATAAGCTCATGGAATACATTTCACTCACTCTGACATCACCATCAAATCAGGGTACTGAACCCTGGTTCGAAGAGAAATGTAGTGAGGATGCCAGGACAATGTGTGAAGAGAGGTGTGAGATTTATACATAAATATTTTTGAGTTTAGATTTCAAACTAACAGCAGATGGGTATTGTGTTTTTTTTTGTGAAGGGATTCAATACCAACTAGGTCAGTATTTCCATAACTATGATTTTAAACCATTAAGCTTTGATGGAAATCCTCCTGCCGAGTTAATGAAAGTTTGTTTATATTGTGGGATTTTGCAACAGGAGAAAGAAAATATTGAAATACATTACCTTGCATTTGGGATTAGAATCTATTTGTAAGAGTCAAAGATAAAGGCATCATAGCTCACAACACCAGAACTGGAAAGAAGCAGTTAAACCAAAGTTTTGATAGGGAAGGAAAATTTCTCTAGACTTTGATTAACTGTAAAGTGATGGTGTTGGGGAGTAGATGGGATTTTTACTTTTGGGTATTTGAAATCTTTTAAATTGTGTGCAGATCATTTTTATTTTTTTTTCCTTTTTCTGCACATTACACTCCTGTTTCAGTGTTAAAAATCAAATCTTCAACCTGTGTGTTTATATTTCAGTCAAAGACTGCCATGTTAAAATAGAAACAAATGCAATTCATCAAGACAGATCTCATTCTGTGAATTAACTTGTCCAGTAGTAATATCAGCTGGGATCATAACAGTCAGACTTACATAAAAGTGAGGTGCCAAAGTGGTGAAGCAACACAGGTCTAGATTATAAGAACATAATTAAGAAATGGGAGGAATAGGCCATTTGTCCCTTCATGCCTGCTCTGCCAAACCTCTTCCTATGGTCCTCCTTATCATTCATGCCAGTTTTCAAACAATTTGATTCACTCCTTTTAGATCAAGAAATGACCGAGCACACTGGAGCATATCAAAGGATTCCAAAAAAAACCTCAAGATATACATAATGTAGATTGGCTCTAGCTGAGCTCAATGCCAAGCTGTTCCTGTACAACGACATCACCATCACCAGCACCAACTCAACAAGGTGGAAAATGAAGTATTCGGTACTATTCTCAACTCAAATAATGAAATAGATTGTATCAGACCTTGGTCTGATAAGTTGAAAATAACATCTGCCCACTGAAAGGCTAAACATCTAACCTTGATATTCAACGGTATTACAATGGCTGAATTTTAACATTCCAGGGCATACCATTAACCAGAAACATGACTGGACTAGTAAAAGAAATGCTTGGTTACAATAGCAAGCTAGCGCCTGGGAATTCTACAGAGTAACCCACTTCCTGACCCTTCTAAGCCTGTCCACTGTTTACCAGGCTCAAGTTAAGAGATGGAACTTTAACATTAAAGCAGTTGATCATGAAGTGTGTTCAGATTCTTTAAAAGGTTACTGAATTGGTGAGTCAGCTCTGCAGGAACACACAAAAGGGAAGCCCAGGGGTCACAGGAAGTACTTCGGTAATTATTGAAATTTTAATAAAAGACAGAGAACTTTTCAACATGGAGGGAACATATGGATCTTTTTACTTAGAATCCAAAATCCAATAGAGAATTCAAGAGAAATTTCTTTATACATAGAGTACCAAAAATGTGGAACGTGTTTACACAAGTTTAGAGGCACTTAGCATAGAGGCTTTTAAGGAGTAACTAGGTGAATTCATGAGAAAAAAATAGGATATGCTGATAGAAGTGGAATATGAGAGTGGTACAATGTTCTCTTGGATCATAAATGTCAACATAAACTGGTTGGGCCAAATGGCCTGTGTGTTGCAAATTCCATACGAGAGCGCCACTGAATTAGTCAGAACACTGGGTCTTTCCCGATGTACTTGCATCATTTTTCCTTTTCAAGTTCACAATATACCCAATTCTCTTTTCAATATTACTGTGAAATCTGCGTCCATCTTTTCAGCCAGTTCGTTCCAAATCATGACAGCTTTAAAGTTCTGGCAAAGATCAGTAGCTTGGGTTGTGGGCGAGGTTGATGACTTGCTCGCCGAGCTGGCTTGTTCTCGTTCAGACGTCTCGGCACCATGCTAAGTGACATCATCAGTGGAACCTCAGAGGAAGCGATGTTATTCTATTCCACTTGGAATTTATACTGTCTGGTCCGTTATGGCGAGTGGTGTCATTTCCGGTTTTGATCTCTATGGGTTTGTAAATGGGGTCCAATTCTATATGTTTGTTGACTGAAGTATGGGTGGAGAACCATGCCTTTAGGAATTCCTGTGCATGTCTATTTTTGGCTTGGGCTATGGTTACCTTGTCCCAGTTAAATTGATGGACTTCATTGTCCGAGTGTACCAATATTAAGAACAGTTTGTCGTGCCGTTTTGTTGCTAGTTGATGTTCATATATTCTGATGGCTAGTTTCCTTCCTGTCTGTCCGATGTAATGTTTGTTGTTGTTGTTGCATGGTATTTTGTAAACCACATTGGTTCTGCATGTTGTGGGAATGGGGTCTTTAATCCTTGTAAGTGTTTGTCGTAGAGCGGCTGTGGGCTTGTGGGCTACCATAATTCCTGCTGATCTTAGGAGTCTTGTTGTCAGTTCCAATATGTTCTTGATGTAGGGCAGTGTGGCCAATGTGTTAGGTCATGTTGTGTCCTCCTGTTATCTGTTTACTAGGCATCTGCAGACGAAGTTGTGGGGATATTCATTTATAGTGAGGATTTGTATAGGTGCTCTTCCTCTTTCCTGCGTAGCTCCGGGGTGTTGCAGTGTGTCCTGGCCTGTTTAAATAGTGTTCTAACGTAGCTTTGTTTGTGGATGTTGGGGTGGTTGCTGGGAAAGTTGAGGATTTGATCAGTATGGGTTGCTTTTCACACCACAACACCCTGGAATTACGCAGGAAAAAGAGGAAGAGCACCTATACAAAATCCTCACTATAAACGATATTTCCACAACTTCATCCACAGATACCTACTCAGTAGACAACAACAGGAGGTCACAGTACGACCTAACACACTGGCCACACTGCCCTACATCAAGAACATATCAGAACTGACAGCAAGACTCCTAAGACCACCAGGAATCATGGTGGCCCACAAGCCCACAGCCATTCTACAACAAACACTTACAAGGATTAAAGACCCCATTCCCACAATATGCAGCACCAATGTGGTTTACAAAATACCATGCAACAACTACCACAAACATTACATCGGACCAACAGGATGGAAAACTAGCCATCAGAATACATGAACATCAACTAGAAGCAAAACGGCACGACGAACTCTCCTTAATATCGGTACATTCAGACAATGAAGGCCATCAGCTTAACTGGGACAAGGTAATGATAGTAGCCCAAGCCAAAGATAGACACGCACGGGAATTCCTAGAGGTATGGGTCTCCACCCATACTTCAATCAACAAACATATAGAATTGGACCCATACAGATCAAAACCAGAAATGACACTACTCACCCTAATGGACTGGACAGTATAAATTCTAAGCAGAGTAGAATAACATCGCTTCATCAGAGGCTCCACTGATGATGTCACCTAGCATGGTGATGAAACATCTGAACAAAAACAAGCCAGCTTGGCGAGCAAGTCAACAACCTCACCAAACCTTTAATTGTAAAGCCACGAATGGCATGTTTATGCCCAAAGAAAAAAAGCAACTATAACATGTCCTGTCACTTTTAAAGATTTGTCTATATTGTAACAATTGAGAGATTTAAACGCTGCTATATCTTGGGACAGTAATGCTAAATGTAACGTAGATGGAAGAAAGGAGTCATGTGACCATGTTGGAATCTGATTCGCAGTAAACCGGAGAAAAACAACGAATGCTGGAGATTACAGAGGGTCAGACAGCATCCACGGAGAGAGAGCAAGCTAACGTTTTGAGTCTAGATAACTCTTCATCTAAACGTTAGCTTGCTTTCTCTCCATGGATGCTATCTGACCCTCTGATCGCCAGCATTTTGTTGTTTTCAGTACAGATTCCAGCATCTGCAGTAATTTGCTCTCACAGTAAGCCTGGGTGGGTGGTTTTACTATTAGAAATTTGAGGAAGACTCAGATCATTGAATTGAGAGGAAGGTGCAAGTTATTTATACAAGGGGACGACAGCACGTTCTACATATACAATAATTTTATTTACTGTCATGGGATATGGGCATTGCTGTCCAAACATAATTTATTCTCCATCCTCAATTTCCCTTGAACAAGAGTTGATAGGTTGCCTTTTTAAACGGTTGTCGTGTGGGCATACCCATGGTGCCGTTATGGAGTTCTGGGATTTTTGACCCAATAATCTCAGTCTCCCAAAGTCAGAAAGGTATTATGGACGTTAAGTTGTAAACAGTAAAGGAGCAGGAAAGCTGATGTTTCGGGTCGGGACCCTTCTTCAGAAAAAAGGGTCAAAACGTCAGCTTTCCTGCTCCTCTGATGCTGCCTGGCCTGCTGTGTTACTCCAGCTCCACACTTGTCTCGGACTCCAGCATTGGCAGTTCTTACTATATCTAAGTTGCAAACAGTTCTTTTTTATTCATTCACGGGATGAGGGTGTCGCCAGCTAGGCAAGCATTTATTGCGTATCCCTAAATTAAGAGTCAACCACATTGCTGAGAGTCTGGAGTCACATGTAGGCCAAACCAGGTAAGGATAGCAGTTTTCTTCCCTGAAGGACATTAGTGAAATTGTTTCATGGTCATTGTCATAATTCCAGATTTGTTTTTATTTTATTGAATTCAATTCCACCATCTGCCATGACGGGATTCAAACATGGGTCCCCAGAACGTTAACTGGGTGTTTGGATTAACAGTCCAAAAATAATGCCATTAGGCCATCACCTCCCCATACAGCACTATTACTCAAACTACAGTTACTAATTACAGTAAAAAGTATTGTAGCAGGCGTCATGTTTCTCAGTATCAGTATCCACATCTTAGCAATTTTGCAAAGTAGCTGGAAATGAATACCTACCATTTGGCAACTTGGTAAACTTGAAGACATGGATGCGTGTCCCAGTGCTGCCAGCATCAAACATGATTCCATAGAAGTCTTGAGGCATAGGTTGTTCGAGTGTCGCCTGCATGACGAATCCGAGCCCATTCTGTGTTCTTTGAAAAGGTTTCTTTTGATACACATATATTAATATGCATACGAAAAGGACAAACACATATGCAACTTTTGGTACCTTCATGGCTCCCAACATCTAAAATCATTTTTTTTGCTGCAGATTCAAGCAAGGCTTGCACAACTCATTGTAGAATCTGTAATAAAAGTTAATTTAAACAATTAACCAGGTTCATATATTTAAGACATTTTCTCAAGCTGGACAGTGGAATTTTTCTTTTTCTAAATAGCAGGGTACAGTGCAGCTTTGGAAAATTCTCAATCAAGGTGACAAAATTTAAAACCAAATAAATCCAGGTAATCAGTGGTGGATTAACACAGAAATTGTGTCATGTACTAAAATTAAGTATAAAATGCTGCAATACTGAGGCAAAGCAGGACCAATAACCAAAATGACTCCATAGAAATCTGATCTTGCACCCTTTATCTGCTCTGACCTATACGTGACATCAGTACTACATCAAAATAGTTGACTCAAAGTGATATGGCAAGTCCCTCAGCCTTAGAAGAGAAACTTCCGATGGGCAATTAATGTTAGCTTTGCCAGCAACATTCACATCAAAAGAACGAGTAAAGAACAAAAAGGCTCGGCCCTGCACAGGCAAAACTAATGGAGAATTGTGCTCAATATTGGCAAATGGCTGTAAATGAAAATGAAAAATTTCTAGTCTTTGGTTTCTTTTCTTTAGAAAGGTGGGGGTGGTGGTGGAGGAGGAGTAGTAGTTTATAATCTATTTAAAATGCCTGGTTGAAACATTGGAAATAGTCGTAGGTCATACAGTAAATCAGCGCCTGCTTCGAAATTCAATTAGATCACATCTGATCAGTCTCATTGCTGTTTTCTTGCAATATCCCCATGTCACTTGTTATCTTTACAAATCCGTTAATTTGAGCTGTTGAATACACTCAGCCTCCCTAACCCTTCGGCGTAGAAAATTCCAAAGATTCACCACATTTTGAGGAAATGGCCTATCCCTGATTTCAGCCCCATCAACTGGGAATAATTCTTCCTGCACATAACCCTGTCGAGCTTTGTAAGAATTTTATTTGCTTCAGTTAGATCACTGGTGTAGGCCTAAAGTACAAGGCATATTTAAATGGTAAACAAACAATCTGAAGATTGACATTACTATCTTGGCTGTTGGTAGTAATCTTGTGCCAGAATCAGAAAGTTCTGCTATTGAGTATCATTCCAGCCCTGATTACAAAATCTAAGTTGAAACTCTGGTGCCGCAGTGAAGGAGTGGTACTGTTATAGATGCCATCTTTCAAATGACTTGCTGCCCCAAAAAGAAAATTGACAGTGATCATATAACCTGCTGGGTTATAATTGATTGTTATTTGAGGGATCAATATTAACTATTACAGTATACGGTGGAATAATTCACCTTCTTTGAAAGAGCGCCACGGAACCCTTTACATCCACAAACGGGGAGAAATCTGCGACTCTGTTTAACATCTCATTGTGAAAAACAACACCTCAGACAATGTAGCACTCCAATAGTCCTATGTAATAGTGTCAGCTAGATTACAAGCTCAAGTCTATGGAGTGGCACTACAACCTTCAATTTACAGCCCACAGCCTTCTGATTCACAACTACCACTGAACCAAGGATGACATAATTGTTTCAAAGGCAGAAAATTATGCACAGAGCTACAATACAGAAAAAATTATACTAATAGATTGCTTTTTCATGGTGAGTCAGAGAATGAATTATTGGAACATGCATTATGTCATTGTGTTATTATAAATGAAGCTTAAAAGTTATGGAATCAGGGCAATAATGTCAGTGAATAATACATAACTCTGCTGGGAGACAATCTAGCAAATTGGAAGTAGCATAACATAGAATATGAAAAATATCAGCATATTCACAGTTACTGTATAATATACAGTTAACCTCATAGTAGGCATTTTAATTAAAAACAGTCTAGGGATAACTTGTAAACACTATATAGTAGCCAGCTGGTTCCTTTTCATTACAAGCATATTGAAGGTGCATTGATATTACACAAAATTAATTGAGTTCATTCCTTCCAGAGTTTCTCCGCACCTGTGCACTGCAGATTTGACAATTCTGCCGTGTCATGGCATCCTGAAAAATAGTGATAGTGAAAAGTGTTCAGAACTCCTGTTTAGCAGTCATTTGGAATCTGAGATCTAACATTCACACAGAGATTTACAGTCAGTTCTTTTAGTTAGCAGTCACAGTAGGAATGGCCTAACATTTTTACTAATTAAACCTGTAACAATTGAAGAGTGACTTAAGAGATGGGAAATGTCCCTTATCCGGCAACTTGATGGTGGGGTGGGGGGAGCGGGAAGAGAGTGTGAT